GACCGGAAGTAGACGGGGGAAACGAAAGGAGCGGGGGAAAACAGCAAGGAGCGGAGGACCGGAAGTAGACGGGGGAAAACGAATGGAGCGGAGGAAAAGAAAAGAGCGGAGGACCGGAAGTAGATGGGCGGGGAAAACGGAAGTCGCGTGGACGGGGCTGGGTAAAGCGGTGCGGACGACCGGAAGTCGACCGCCGGGGGAACCGGAAGTGAGGGGACGGTGCGCGGACGCCGGGTTGCCTTAGCAACGGGGCCTAGTCCGGGCGGACGGAGCCTGAAGATGGAGGGGAGCGAGCGGTGAGTGATTCCCCCCCCCTCCCCAAAGGAGGCGGAGGGCGAAGAGGAATGTTATTAAAGTTGAAATAAAATAATAAAAGAAAGGGGAAAGGTAATCAGGAAGGCTAATGGAATGTTGTCCCTTATTTCAAGGCAGTTAGAGTATAAAAGTATGGATGTCTCACTGTAAGTGTATAAGTAGCTGGGTAGATCACATCTAGACTGCTGTGGGTAGTCTGGACCCTTATTTAAACAGGGGCAGTTTGGAGAAGGTTCATTAAGGATGATCCCTGGTATGGAGGGATTGTCTTATGAGCAAAGCTAAATAAGGTGGGACTTTACTCACTGGAGTTTAGAAGAATGAGAGGTGATCTCATTGAAACATATAGGATTCTTGAGGGGCTTGACAGTGTAAGTGTGGAGAGGATGTTTCCCCTCATGGGAGAGTCGAGGTCGAGAGGGCATACTTTCAGAATAACAGGCTGCCAATTTAAGCCTTCTTTTGCCACAGATAGCTGTGAAGGGTAGAGTCCCTGTGTATATTAAAGGCTGAGATCAATAGATTCTTGATGAATTGGGGAATCAAGAGTTACAAGGAACGGTCAGGAAAGTGGACGTGAGGAAGTTTGATCAGCCATTATCCTATTGAATGGCTGAGCAGGCTCAAGGGGCCGAATGGCCTCCTCCTGTTGCTGTTTCCTAGGGTCTGTGTAGAAGGGGAGGAGCAGAGGGGAGGGGTCAATAATAGCGGGGCCGAACAGCCTCCTACCCTTGTTATTTCCTGCAGTTTGAGGAGGGGAGTAGGTGATAGAGGGGCCGAACAGTCTACTCCTGTTTCTTATGGTCTGGACAGGAAGGGAGGGGCAGAGGGGGGATGGGCAATAATAGAGGGGCCAAACAGTCTCCTACTCTTGCTAATTCCTACAGTCTGTGCAGGAGTGGAGGCACAGAGGGGAGTGGGCAATAATAGAGGGGCTGAGCAGCCTCCTCCTGTTCCTATGTCCTCCAGTCTGTGCAGGAGGGGAGTGGGAGATAATTGGGAATTGATTCTGGATCAGTTGGAGAAAGAGAGGGATGGGGAAAGGTCAGGAAAGTGGGTGTGTGAGGAACGTCAGGTCGGCCGTCAAACGACCTCCTCCTGTTCCTATTTCTAATGGACAGAGAGACGGAGTGAGGGAGGACTCAGCCAATGATGGGGATGGGGGTGGTAAAAAAGCAGAATTGGAGAAACGGCTAGCACTGTTGGCTCCCAGCGCCAGGGAACAGGGTTCAATTCCAGCCTCAAGCAGTGCAGAGTTTGCATGTTCTCCCAGTGTCTGTGGGTTTCCTCCCACAGGCCAAAGGTATGCAGGTTACAGTGGGTTGGCCATGGGAAATGCAGGGTTAGAGGGATGGGGTCGGGGGTGGGATGATCGTCGGGGGTGTGTGGACTTGATGGGCCAAATGGCCTACTTCCACATAGAATGTGTTTCTCTAAAACATCTGTGCAAAAAAGAGAGAAACACAGTTGCAATTAAATCAGAGAGCAGCAAGTTAAGGGGAGAGGTGACAGTCGATGCGAGATCAGTTGTTCATTTTAAAATCGGAGAGCAATTCAGTTTTGCTAAACACAAGTATTAAGCGATGTGGGCTAGTATCTAATTAAGTGGCAGGAACAGGCTCAAGCAGCTAAATAGACTCCTTCATCCTATGTTCCCATGACTGTTAATGTTTAGCTGTAACCCAGACTATGAATCATTTACATTGACCTAGAAATGAAAGGGTGGTGGAATGGCTTCACATGCCCATGATTTGGTCTTCTCTAACAATCTGTTTAAATGTTGTTTATTTAAACAGTCTGACAGCCCTCTCTCCTTTCCCTTACAGCAGCGAAGCGAGTGCCAAGTGGTTGGATGCTCATTATGACCCCGTGGCTAACCTCTATACATTCTCCTCTTGTGTGGGTACGTGCTGTGTTCAGTCATTGTCTAGGCTCCATCAGTAGCCTAACACGCGCCACAACTGATTAACCAGCCAAGTCGATCTTAAAATTCCCCATCCTGATGTTCAAATCCCTGCATGGCTGCCTCCTCAACTTTAAAACCACAACATGCCTCTGTATCCCCTGATCTTCCAGGCAGTCCCTGATCAGGAGTAATTGAGGGAATGTCTGGGAGATGAGGCTATTAGTGACGGAGGAAGCCAAAAATCCAGAAGTGGGAAAGAATGATGGGGAGGTGTAGAGGGGAAATCCAGAGCAACTGAAGGCTTGGACCCCAGGGTGGAGCAGTGGGAAGTTGGGGTGGGGGAAAGTTCATTCATAAAAAAGTGTCTGGGTCTTTTCCTCAGGATAGGGGAATCCAAAACTAGAGGGACTTAGGTTTAAGGTGAGAGGGGAAGGATTTAAAAGGGACCTGAGGGGCAACTTTTTCACAGAGGGTGGTGCGTGTATGGAATGAGCTGCCAGAGGAAGTGGTGGAGGCTGGTACAATCAACATTTAAAAGGCATCTGAATGGGGACATGGATAGGAAGGGTTTAGAGGGATATGGGCCAAATGGGACTGAATTAATTTAGGATATTGGGTCAGCATGGACAAGCTGGACCGAAGGGTCTGTTTCCATCCTGTACAGCTCTGACTCTACACCAACCTCTCCCATTGTCATTTGCTATGTCAGTGGTCATGCTGCAGTCACATGCACTGGCCACTGGGTGGCACACAGTCTGAAATCAGCTCTTCATCCAGAGTGGGGAGAGATGGCAGTTTTGAGGGGACGTCCCTGGGTTAATAATCCCAGGTGGAATTAGTAAACCAAGAATGAAAAGCCAGTTTCCACAGTGGTGACCACGATGTTATCCTCAGTTGTCACAAAAAATTCACATCAGGTTCACTCATGCCCTTGAGGGAACAGGAAATCTGCCACCTTTACACATGACTCCAGGCTCACAGCAATACAACTGACTTTCAACTGGCCTCTGAAATGGTCCAAGTGCAGCCCTGTAATCAAGGGGCAAGTTGGGACATGAAGTGGGCATGTCAGCGAGCCCACATCCCACAAAAGAATAGAAGTGTTTTCAGAATTAGTGACCTTGGGTAACATCTTTGAAAAATCCAGCACCAGAACAATTAAAAGGACACCATTTTCAGACCAATCCCTTCCCCGCACTCCCCTCCCCAGTACTGACCTGCAAGAGCTTTGGTCCTACAGGATTTGAATGGCAGCAAGAGGCACAAGCCCCCAGAATGTGGACTAACAAGTCTGTCTATCCTTCCACAGCTCTGGCAGACTTGCATGGAGACGGAGAGAATAAGGTGAGAGTTTGCTGTCTTTCTGGTTAATCTTGAGGGGTGAACACCCACTAGTTGTGGCCATTGTCAGGTTTCTGAAGTACTTTCAAACATCCCCTCAGTTTGCAACTGGAAACTCTGAGAAAGCTGCTGCTGTAACCTGTGCCCGTTTCTATCAGCATGCAAAAAAGTGCCCGCTGGTACAGAACTCAAACATCACTAAGCCAAGGAGGGGGGGTCAACTGCAAACCTTCCTCTACCTCACTCTCATCAGGCATTAGGATGCAAGAAAGTAGTTTTGCAAAGGGAACCACAATTTATACAGCAGGAGAAGAGGGTGCTGATTGGCTGGGCCGTGGTTGGTACGGAGATGCATCAGGGAACTGTTAACTGTCAGTCTTAGTTAGCTCATTAACCTCAAGGTCTGCAGGTGGTCTCTGATTGGTCAGGGTGTTGCCATGGGGAAGGCAGCAGGGACTGACAAATCTCCCTAACGGTCCTGTCGTTGCCGTGGTGCGGAGGTGCTGGTTTTGGACTGGGGGTGGACAAAGTCAAAAGTCACAGGTTATAGTCCAACAGGTTTATTTGAAATCACAAGCTTTCGGAGCGTAGCCCCTTCGTCCTTCACCTGTTGGACTATAACCTGGTGTCGTGTGACTTCTAACTTGGCCTGTGATTGATGAACATCTTGCATCTTTTAACAGGGGGGAGCGGCTAAAAGAACAGCACATCCCTTTAACTGTCTTTGTTGCTATGGACCAGACCAAACCCCGTTGAAATAGCCTAGACCCTAACTTCTTCATATTTTAAGGGTAAACGTGACATGTTGCATTCTGTGCAGTTTGATTGGTCAAACTATGAGATTTAAGGCAAAACATACTTTATTCATCCACTATAGCTAAAATACAACAAAAGAAAGAAGGAACTCGAATAACTCAACTCTGTTGAAAAACTTAACAGAATAATAGATGCAGTACCCATTACTAATTAACTGTCCCAATATGGTAACATCCCATAAGCACACCTCTTGGCAAACAGGCAAATTCAGAAAACAGATTGTCTCACATGCAACTCCAACAGCCCAGGGAGAGCACCCCGCAGGAGGAGGAGGAAAAAAATAGCTTCCACTTCTTCCAGACCCCAGCAGCAAGCTGCAGAAAGCTAAACTAACAATCCCAGTTCTGTGAGAGCAAGACCACACCCGGTCAGGCTGCTTCTATTGTTCCAGCTTTAAAAAAAAACAAACACCCAAGGCCTCACAAGCTGTGTACCTTCTCATAGACTGCTCGGTGCCTGTCCCTCAATCCCTGTCTAAAAGAAACCAGGACAAATTGACTTCTTAAAGGCACTGCATCGTCACACTGGTGGACATCGGGACACAGTGTCCCTCCACGAGATGTGAACAGTAGTTACTGAGTAACCCCGATTGATACCAGATCCTGTTGAAGGTCATCGGGCACACTGACCGTGTGGATTCATCTGTCTATGCTGGAAGCTACATTTAGCCACGTCTAAGGCCCTGCCCTTTCTGAGAAAATCTCACTGTTTCTCCATGTGAACTGTGAGTGAGCCAATCAAACAGTGCCCTCTTTTCATGTGGTCTGAATTATTGTCACCTTTCCCAGTTGGATTTCTTGGAAGGATAGACAAAACAAGTTCATCCTTTGTGTCTGTTTTCTGTTGTGTTTAAATGTATTCACCACACAACCGCAACACTCCTGTTTACCTCATTCTGAGCAGCTTGAGTCCCAGGAGAAACGTTGCTTCAATGCTCCTTACACAACAACAGTCCATGCTCACACTGAACACCTTTCCTAGATAACACCACCCAGTTTTTACACTCTCAGATTCACAGAGATTGGTCTGGTGTGGGGTGTGGGGTTAGATACAGAGTAAAGCTCTCTCCACACTGTTCCCCCCCCCACCACCAAACACTCCCAGGGACAGGGACAGCACAGAGTTAGATACAGAGTAAAGCTCCCTGTACACTGGCCCCACCATCAAACACTCCCAGGGACAGGGACAGCACGGGGTTAGATGCAGGGTAAAGCTCCCTGTACACTGGCCCCACCTCGTGTTGTTGGTGTGAGGGTTTGATTGAGCTCCTGTGCACCCTGTCTAACCTCAGTGTTTTTGTTTGGGGTAATGTTGCTTTCCGCAGCTGATTGTCGGGGACCTGGGAACAGGTCAGTCCAACATGAAGTTGAAGGTGTACAAGGGCACCACCATGCTGTCAGAGAACACTCTGATTGACCTGCCGACAGGAGTGGTCGCTTTCCTGATGGACACCAATGAGCCCAGGACCCCAGCCGTGGCTGTAGCCTCCGGCCCTTACATCTACATTTACAAGAACCTCCGCCCGTACTTCAAATTCACCCTGCCACCTCTGGAGGTGAACCCGCTCGAGCAGGATATATGGCACCAGGTGAAAGAGGTGAGGACGCTCTAAATCTTTATTCTTTATTACCTTTCACCCCCTCGCCTTGGCTGCTCCAGGAGCAAATTCCCCTTTCTCCAGCTCCAGTCACCACCTCACCACATCCAGAGAATCACAAGGGAATTCTGTGTCCCGCTCTGGGCGCCACTTTCTAGCAAGGACCTGAGATGGCACAGTGGGTGATTTACTGGAACGGGACCAGAGATGAGGGTCCTCAGTGGATGTGGAGAGAGACTGGGGATGCTGGGATCGTTCCCCTCGGAGCAGGGAAGGTTCTTGTGGGGGTGGTGGGAGATTGAATCGAGGTGTTCAGAATCAGGAAGGGGGCTGTTGGATGGAGTCAGTGTGAGGGAGAAACTGTTCCCAGCTGCAGGAGAGTCAGTCACCAGAGGGACAAAGACTGTAGGGAATTGGGAACAGAACCTGAGGGAGGGAGGTGGGAGATGAGGAGAATGTTTTATTTGAAGCAGTGAGTTTCTGTGATCTGGGACATGCTGCATGAAAGGTTGTGTGTGTGTGTGACTCTGTGAGGGAGCGTGTGTGTGTGTGTGAGAGAGTGTGTGTGTGTGTGTGTGTCTCTGAGGGAGCATGTGTGTGTGTGTGTGTGTGTGTGTTTGTGTGGTTGTGTGGGTGGGGCGGGGAGGGGAGGTATTGCAGATTCAACAGGAACTTCGCAAAAGGATGGGAATTGGGAGAAGGAGGAATAAGTAGGTCAGTGGAGGTTGGGGGGAGGCGCAGCAGGGTCCGTGGCGGCAGAGCAGGGGAGGATGTGGAACTGAATGAATAGATCTTCCAGAGAGCCAGCACAGGCTGGATGGGGCGAATGGTGCGTTTCCTCGATGTGATGGATTGCTTTGCTAGGTTTGAACTTTTCAATCTCTGCGTGTAATTGGCGAATCATTTTCATCTGTTTCCTTCAGGACAAGATTGACCACCTGACCCTGAAGGAAATGCTGGAGAGTTTTCGGTGAGAGCCTTTTGGCACGGCGTGTGCCTCCGAGGGTGTCCCAACCCCCACCCCCATCAACACAGGGCGGGAACCCGGGTGCTGGCAGGGGAGCGAGTCTCTCAAGAGTTTGTTGTCCCCCACTCTCTTCGTGCCCCCTGCTGCATAGTGGAGATGTTCTGGTGGAGACAGCTCAGGAGCACAGCTCCATCACCAGCAGCACAATAACTGCCCCCATTACCCCCCACCCCCACCCCGCCCCCAGCAAACAGCACATGATGTCCTGTGACACTCTCTAACTTGGCTGAGAATCCTCTCAGCAGTGACGGTTTCAGAGAAAGCAAGTTAGCGGATGCCAGGACAGCAGAGAAGCCATTTCCCACAGCACACTTGGCAGATGATCCTCCACTAGATCCAATTGCTCCCCGTCACTTCCAGCCCCTGTGCCCCTCTGGGATCTTCCCATGCTGCCTGTTGAGCTTTCCCCGATTCCCCAG